ATTTTGGTTATGAAGATATAGTGTTCCTTTTGTTATTTAGATCATTATATCAGCAATCTGAGTATTAGTAAGAGCATTGTTTTCCCTGAATTACTTGAGGTTTGATTCCGCAAGTTCTGTCACAATCACGAATTTATCATCAAAGGTGAAGTAAGATTCATAAAATTTAGTAATGTTTGAATGGTTTAGTTTGAATGTATTGATCTCACGGATTATTCGCAAAATTTCATTACTGTAATTGTTAGGTACATTAGTCATGAGAATTTTTAGATTTTAGACTTTCATTGCGTATAATTTATCATTTTCTGTATTCTTTACTTGTGAAACTGAACCGAATGTTCCAGAATCAATTTTCTCTACAAATTGATATTTATCCCAGAGCGGCTTTACTGAGAGAGTAACGTATTTATCCATCTTGATTCAATTTTAAGCTTGATCAATCATTAGTAATGTTTCTATCAACTTGTCATATTCATATTTCCTAATTTCGATTTATTTTGCATTATTCTTTGGAATAAACATTAAAATTCCGTGTGGAAGGCCTTGCTTCCTTTATCCAAGATAAATATCTCTATCCTTGTATTTGAATACTCCAACTCCTTAGAACATGTCATTCCCCCATTATCCATAGTATACACTTCCATCAATCTATTTTTCCAATCCTATCCCTTCTCTCTTATCATTAGTCCATTAACCCTCATGGATTTTTCCATTTTTACTATAAAATTTACCATATCCATTTCTTTTACCATCTTTAAACTCACCGATGTAGCAATCACTATTTCCATTTATTAATCTTCCATATCCATTTGATGAATTATTCTTCCATAATCCATCATAAACTCCTCCATCACTGTAAATAATTCTTCCTCTTCCATCCCTTTATTTAGTTATTTTATCATATTCACCTTGATAAACATCATCATTATCATATTAAATAATAGGCATGAAGATTCTTTTTGGATTTGGGTGAATATTATCTATAACCCCATAGTTGAATTCACCAAGTTTGGCTATAATTTCATTGACCAAAGCGTTAGTTGATTTTATTTTTAAAGCAAAAGCTTTTCTGGATTCATTATCATTAGTAGAGTTGGATTAATTTTGCTTTTGTTCCTCTGTTTCTAAATGCTTGCTTAATGACACCTTGTTAAGTTTACAAAGTTCACAAAGTACTTAAAGTGCATCTATTCTCAGAGTAGGATTATACTAAAGCATTTTATTCAGAAGTGGCTCGAATACCTTCTATTCACCTTCAAGT